TGAGATTCGATCCCTTGCTTCAACGGCAAATCTTGTAAGGCAAGCGAATTCGGAATAGCTGCATGGGGTGTCGCACGGTTCGCCGCGCGCGATATGAGCGCGGCCACCCCATTGGCCCCTATAGAATCGCCTGTCCCCCAAGGAGGAGAGCTGGTTTGCGCTGATTTCACAAAATATCACAGACTTTTATTGTATCCAGGACTTCTCTGGCCGTGTTGTAATAGCGATGGTTGAAAGTGGATGCACTGCATCCAAGGTGGTCAAGGCTGGAGATATTCTCCTTGAAGGTGAACGCCACCGATGTATTCGATAGGGACGTGGCTCGCAAGGTAGACTTTCTGGTTCCCATATGGGACCATATATCGGTCAATTCAACCCAGTTTCAGTTGATTATGGAGAGTATAAACTCGTCAAAACGAGTAACTCTGACACTTGAACGATGCGTATTTGCACCTCTGCCTCCATTAATTCCAAGAAGTCAAGGCACACCTGGTGCACCCGGTGCCCCTCCGGGAGCTTCTACACCAGCACTCGAAGCTCCTAAAGCATCGGTACTTTACTCGTTGTTATCAATCACTGATACTACTTAATCTTTAACTAGTTTCAGTCCTCGGGGACTGCACTGAAATCCTTCCAATGTGCTCCAACTGTTAACACGAAGGTTGCAATTCTAATCATTATTTTGAGGGCATATTCTGTGATAATCGAGTGGGCGGAGACTCGTTTCTAATTACTATTTTGAAAGCATATTTTGTAATAATCGAGTGGGCGGAGACTCGTATCGATTGTAGGCCCTAATAACTTTGTAGAGTGCTCTTGGAGGAGTCCTTGTACTGTGGGATTGCTGCAGTGGAAGAAAAATTACCATACTTGAATTTGGTTCACCTACCACGGAGTTCTTCGGCTCTTTGAGCTTAGGCACGAGTCTTTACCTACATTACGGAAGGAGTCATCTAAACCCCTTCCCCCTACCAAGGATGCTTAGCACTCTATTGTGCTTAACTCACTGGGTTGCCCTCTCGGCGTACGGGCACCCATTGAGAAAGTTTTCTGTGAGGTCTGCCACTGCATTTCTCCGCCATCCGATTATCGCGGAATGTGTTTCAAATCTAGTTTCTTCCACCAGGCTCTCCAGCGCAAAGATACTGCTAGATCAAGACAGTCGTGAAATGCAATGAATTGGTATTCAATTCGGTGTGATTACAGCTGGATGTGGCTCTACCTGCCGATGTGCTTGGTATACTGGAGATGAACAAGAACTTCTACCTTGTCCAATGTACCTTGCCACCTTGTTTGAAGAAGGTCAAACAACCTGAACAGCCGACAGGTCCTGCCAATTGTGTTAAAGCTTATAAATTAGCTGCATAGCTGTTTTCTATGAGAGCCGTGTCGCGCCTGGTTTGTGGCTAAATAGGCGTCTGGGACTATGGGAAGGGGCCGGGGGGTGGCGTACAGTGTGTGACGTCTGCGCAGCGGTACACATCAAGGCCCAACCAGGCGAATGTGACAAGGACAGTCGCAGTTCGACAGTCGCTGGAGTGCCGTCGCGTGCCGACGTCGCGCCGTCAAACAACGGCGTTCCAGGTCGTAGGTGACGACAGTAGGCAGTGTATAACCAGAAGTCGGGGTTACTTGGTATCAACCGCACTCTTTCCGCTAATTGGAGTGATTGTTTTATCCCCAGACTTTGGGTGTACACCAGTTTATATAGCTCCTAAGCCTCTAAAAGTCATGCTCGCCTATGGGTGAGACTATCTGCCGCTCCTTATAATTTCATACCATTACTGTCATTGCCAATATTTGAACTAATTTTTCGAAATTCGGCCTTTTTCAGCACATATGAATCTGCCTCCAGATGCACAAACCGAGACAATAATCCCTTATGATCCATCACCGAAACCGCTAAAAGTAACTCCGAAGAGAGTGGGCTCATAATAGTCAAATGATGATGATGTAATATAATGCTTGTCCAAGTTTTTACTACGGTTAATGTAATAAATAAGCATTGATTTGATTTTGTTGGGGAAGTTGTGGTTCGATGACGTCATCGCATCACCGCTGCTTTTAAAAATGCCATAAAAACATGAAAGACTGAAATGTTCAGCTTTCATGAAGTACTTGAAGATACACCATGTGTTTATTTTCTGCGACAATTCCTGCAACCTCCTTGGGGTCCCCTGCATTATGGAGAACTCCACAGCTGAAGACAGTATGCAGTCTTTTGTTTCGCCGCGGATGCCGTGGGCGTTATCAGCGAGGCTGCGTTTGCATTCTGCCAGCACGTTCTCAGGTCTGGCACCGCACCAAACCCGTCCCCCTGGCACCCGCTTCGTCCCGCGGCGAAGGAGACTGTCTGATTGCCGTAGGTTAGGTACCGTTCATCCGTTGGAAAGAACACCGTGAGCCGGACTGAGCCGGGCGCAGTTCAGACGGTAGCACTTCGAAAAAGAAATTTGGCTTCGGTGAGCCACACAAAAACCTTTAGAAAAACAAGAAGGATCATACAGTCGCAGCACGCTGAGGGTGTCGTCAAGGAGCCAAGTTTGAAGCGGCCTGTAGCCCTTCCCACAACTGTTTGAAGAAGCAATGGAGCGCAAGTTTCGCCAAGCAAACTTGTACAGTCTTCATCCGCCGGCAGGTTGCATAGCGGCGTGTCAAAGGATCGCAGACGCGGCTGCGGCGCTTCACGACCGCGACGATCAGCTGTTTCCAGCCTATTCAGCCTTCCCCACCCCCTCAAAAAAAAGAATCCACGCCTTATTAACTTACATTGAAGACACAAAACAACTCATTCTTTAGAAAAAATAGTTCAAATTAGAGAGGAAATGGCTCAGTAGGCTGGAAACAGCTGATTGCCGCGGTCGTGACGCGCCGCGGCCGCGTTTGCGACCATTTGTGCGCCTAATCAACTGAATGACGACCGTAGTGGCACTGCCGCGTGATCTCCTCAGCACTACCTCCGCTCTTAGCTTGTCGCCGTTTATTCTTTATTCCCACTTTACTGAACTGCACAATTATGAATGAATTTATTTTAAGATTTTGTTCAGATATTCGTTATTTAAAAATAAAAATGCAGACAACAATTATCAGAAGCAGTCCCGTGTTTCTACCATATAGGTGCCAATGATCATTTCATGATTTTCGCCTGCCTTCTCGTATCTGAAAAGCGATCACCAATGGTAATAAATCACCAATGATAATAATAATAACAATAAAAATAATAATAGCAGTAAACCGAAGAATAAGGAAACACAACCCGGTTCACTGCGTGTCAGGAGGGGGTATGGCAGAGCGCTAGTCCGTTCTCCGCCAATTGTTGTCGCTTTAGGAGTGGCGCCGCGCCGAATCTAGCCCTCTGACACGCCCCTGCATCCGCAACGACCACGGCTGTAACGATAGTGACAATGGAGGAATAATAATGTGATTCTGGTAAATGGTGATATATTATAACAACATAGCTGAGCGAAAGACGTGAGTCCAGGCGGGACTCCAATATAACATCAATTAAGACGGCAGTCTCGGTGGTTCAATGGATAGCGCAGCCGCCCATCAAGCGTTAGGTGCGATTCGAGTCCCGCCTGAGTTACGGCATAATCAGTTTGGCTTTAACTTTACCAGTTAGAACCGGATGGAGGACCTCTAAGGCGAGGCGATTGAATCGAAAAGATCGATTACCTCAAGCATGCTCGAAATGCATTGTTCAATCTCATATGGAGATCACTCTTCCTGTCGATATGTTTCCAAGTTTCGTGTTCTCTTACACCCATTGACAACAGCAGATATTTCCTCCAAATATCCTCTGCCTAGGAAAACTCGTATTTTCAGGTTGTTATAATACCTTAGGAAAGTGTTTTTCTTGAAGGGGGTGAAGGGACTTCAAAGCATGCTCCGCACTCACTTGAGACTCAGACACCTTCTTTGGACAAGGTTGTTATGTTCGCGAGAAAGTGGATGTATTACTTTAGCAGCTTGAAAAAAATGATTAAAGGCACGTTCCGCGATAAACTAAGGCTAGGTTCTCATAACCGTGCACGATGGTCAAGCAGGCAACGTCAGAGGCTATACCGCTTTTAAAAGTTGAAAA